ACTAGGCTACATGTTACATAGGCCTATTTTCAGTTCAAAATGGCGAAATTAGACAAAACTATATTAGTTTGCCTAATTATTTTTTGTCATTCGTTTAACATTTATGACCTAAAAAAAACTGTCAAATAAAGTTAAGTTTAGCTACTTACATCTTATCTCGCACTTGACCGTACACTGAAGCGTCGAGTTGCACTGTTAAAATTCGCGCTCAGCGTCTGTGAACATAAAGCCCGCCTACTTTGATTTGATTGGTCATCTCAAATATTCTGACATTGACGAGCAGTGACAGACCAATGAGGCTCAGATGAACACACACATGAACACATCACACACACACACACACCCTGTCCTGTGTTTTTGACGTGCTCTCTGTCTCTGCTCGGCGCCGCTGCGGAATGAAGAGTAAGAACGCGCCGAATCTGATTATAACAAGAAGTTTGATGATTGGTTTTTCATTAGGCTATTTTTGGTGCCCCCTCAGCACTTGGTGCCCTACGCACAGCGCGTGATGCGCGTGGTGGGAGCGGCGGCGCTGGTTACATCTGTCAGCTGCAGGTGCCATCATATGCCAACTGATGGCATCCTAGTCCCTCACCGTTTACATTAGACTCTGTTTTTCCCGGACTTAATTTCCCAGAATCCTTTGCTCATTATTAGTTTATCTGTTTCAGCTGTGTCTTGTTTCATTTGATCATCACCCTGTCTATTTAAATGCCTTTTGCCTTCATTCAGTATGAAGTCTTGTTTGTTTGCTTGTTTGGTTTACACTCTGTCAATATTTTGAGCAGTTCCTGGTTTCTTTATATTTTCCTGAGTTTTTGATTTCTTGGACCCGTCTGCCTCAGTTGGTTGTATTTGTGTTCGTTCTGATTACATGTGCTTGACCCTCTGCCTGGTATGGACTATGACCTTGGATTATATTTGTTAATAAACTGCGTTTGGATTCTCACTCTCTCTGCTGAATGCTGTCTTAGCACCACAACCAAATCAGTACATACATGTTGAAAGCCTTCCTGAAAAGAAACGTTTTCAACTGCGATTTAAAAACACTCAACACAGTTATGTTACGAAGGGGAGTAGGTAAGGCATTCCACAAAGTAGGTCCCTGGATGGCAAAAGATCAACCTCCAAACTTTTTACATCTGAACTTAGGGATAATCAAAGTGGTGTTCTGAGAGGAGCGGAGGGTTCTGGCAGGTTGGTATACAGTGACCAGCTCGGAAAGGTATGCCGGAACCAGACCATTGATGGCCTTAAAAACAAACATCAAAACCTTATACTCCACCCTAGACCGTACCGGGAGCCAATGAAGTGAGCAAATAACGGGGGTGATGTGTGAGCGTTTATGGGTATTGGTAAGTAGACGCGCTGCTGCGTTTTGAACCATCTGAAGACGGTTAAAAAGTGATTGGTTAAGCCCAGTATAGAGGGCATTACAGTAATCCAGCAGGAATGATTTCACCTTACTGAGGAGCCTTAGCTGGAAAAAGATAGTCTTAACAACTGCCCCAATCTGTTTGTTAAAATGCAATCTATTGTCGAAAGCCACACCCAGGTTACGAACAGTGGATGCAAACTGGGGCGTGAGAGGGCCAACACTAAGGGGGGTACAAGGTGAGTCCGGGGTAAATAATATATACTCGTTCTTACCTTCATTCAAATAAAGAAAGTTTTGAGAAAGCCACCGTTTAATGTCCTGGGTGCAGTTATGGATGGGGTCTAATGTCGAATGATTGTTCAAAAACTACAGGAAGGTAGACTTGAAGGTCATCAGCATAGAAATGAAACTGAACGTTGTGTTTTTAAATGAGTTGACCAAGTGGGAGCATATAAAGGGAGAACAGTATAGGACCCAGAATAGAACCCTGGGGCACACCAGATGTTAAGGGGGCAGCTGAGGAGGAGAAGTCATCAAGCATAACTGAGAATGTTCTATTGGTGAGATATGACGAGAACCAGTTTAGCACCGTGCCCTGTAGACCCACAACATGTTGTAGACGGGCGATGAGGATTGCGTGGTCCACGGTGTCAAAAGCAGCGGTAAGGTCCAGCAGCACCAGAACCACTGAGTTTTTATTATCCAAGGCTCTAAGAATGTCGTTATGAACCCTCAGTAAGGCTGACTCTGTACTATGTCTAGACCTAAAGCCAAATTGAAATTTGTCCCCCATACCATGCAGATTGAGGTATGACTGAAGCTGGGAGAAGACAAGCTTTTCCATAAGCTTAGCCAAAAATGACCGATGGGATATGGGGCGAAAATTAGACAGTACCGAAGGATCAAGATTAGGTTTCTTTAGTAACGGTCTAACAATAGCGTGCTTGAGAGGAGTAGGAACAACGCCCAGACTAAGACAGCAAGACGCTCGGGCCGTACGCTCTTCTGTCCACGTGTTTTGTGTAGCACGCGGTTCGGGTTTACATCGGCCGCGTGCTTTCATGTCGTGTTTTGTCTTGTGCTGCGTAGCACACAGCTTGTGTTTTCCACTAACTGTGTGCTTTCATGTTGTCATGTTTTGTGTGAGCACATGGCTGGTGATTTTATTTTGTGTTCTAGTCCTGTTTGTTGTGAGAAATGGCTTGTCCTCTTCTTCTTCCTTGGTGTTTTAAGGCAGAACATGGCTTGTCATGTGTTTCCTTGTGCCATGTGCTCTCCTGTCGATTGTCTAGCCCCTCCCATCTTGTTACCTTGTTATAGCAGCTCTGCTTGAGGAATGCCTGAGATAACAGGGATATGATTTGGTTTATCTTGCCTGTGTTTTCCATGAAAATCTTCTGTACTCATTTTACTGATGTAATTTCTTTTGTACAGGTTCTGCTCTCTCCGGCGAGGATTCACCCTTATATTAGTGGGTACCTCCCTGCGGAGGGTTACACAAACCCAGAGCTGTTAACTGAGAGGATTATTTGATTTCAAAGACAAGGTCTGAATTGTTAAAATTGACAACACAAAGTAACAACATTTCAAGAAACAGATTTTTACATGTTCTAGAGGGTTCTTAAAAAAATACTTAGTTTTTTTTACTGAACTTCAAGTCAAATGACAACATAACATTTTGATCAGTGGCCAAACCATTTGTTGTTTTGGGGGTAGGGGGTTCTTGACCACTATTTCAAGGACAATTAGGAAGAAAACAAATAAAAAGCTTTTATGTTACTCAAATATTAGATTTTTTTCCACAAATATGCCTATTTTATTTATTTTTTAACAATTATTTCATAATTTAATGAGGGCCCAATTCAAAGCTTAATTTTAAGGTATAAACATGACATCAAGCTGTAAACATGAAAATTACTTTTTAAAGCAATGAGTATTATCTGTGAATTATGATTGGTGGAGATGATCAATAACTGTTATTAGTGGTCAGTGATCCGTCATGTGACTGCATAGAAGTTCTCACAGCCAAAATAAGGACAATAGTGGACATTTGACCACATTTTACAGAAAATGACCACCACAGGTCATTTTAAATAGGATAAATCATAAAGAAATGGAGTAAATAAAATTCAAAATTTATTCAAGTTCATTTAGGTTTTTCCATTCCAGTTTTTACCAGCTTTTGAATTTCAACACAATATAAATGACGTTAAGCCTACATATATAAAATATATACTCTATGTACAATACACGCACTTGTGCATTGTAATAATTCTCAAATTGTTCATTAAAACTAATACTATACTGTCAATCTATAAAAAGGCTGCACAAATTCAAACCATGAAAACATTTTCCAGATAAAGTGACACATCTTACAGTAAACTTAAAGACACTGGGGTGAACAGATGATAGAATCTTGTTTCTGCACTGCAATTAAAAATATTCTTTTTTAAAATAGACTTTTTTTATTGCAGTTGCGAGTTTATATCTCACAATTCTGAGGGGGGAAAAAGTAGCAACACCTTATTTATTTGTTATTCCATGGTGGAAACAATCTTCCATAAAAACCGGCTTGCATGAGATTATCTTAAAAGATTTAAAAAAAGTTTTTCATTTCACTATACAAAAAGCTGCAATAAAACAAGATTAAAGATTAAAGATTAAAACAAGGTTAAATTCAAAGAGTTTGGTTTGTTTCTCAAACACCTTCATTTACTCTTAATGTCTTAGTTTTCTGTTTTCTACCATATACGCTATTGATTATGAGTCAGGAGTTTCATTGAGAGATATTTTTTTCTTCTTTTAAGCAAAATTGATGCGTTTTTTATTAAACGAGACTCAATATCTTCTGTCATTTTGTTTAACTGTACACAAGTAACTGTATCTTGATTTAAGAACGTTTAGATAATTGTAAAAATACTGAGGAAGACAATAAATCATTTGCAGGGCACACACATCTTATGCGTTTTGTGTATTTCTCAGGTTATGAAGGATCTGAAGGTTATGAAGGATCTGTAAGAAAAAATGATGTGGACGTCGAAGATCTCAAAAATGAAGTTAATTACAGCATAGCAGTGGCGAGGTACACAAAGCACCTTGGGTTCACCGGCGTCAGAATGAACCCAGAACATCCAATTCTCAAACCTTTTATCCTGTTACAGTTTTACCACTCTTAAATGAAGTTGCTCCTGTTGTACCAGCTGTGGTCTGTATGTTAATGAAGTTGAGACACCCCATTGTCTGAGAAGGTTCTCTGTCCCACATCCATTCCCATTCTACAAATGATGATGACCATTTGCTCAGGATGTGATCAAGCCAAATGGTGAAGAAACAATATAACTTCACCTTCATCTCTATGATAATTGAGCCATTTTTAGGGGATGAACTTATTCTAAAAAAAAAACATATTTTTATTTATAAATTTTCCAGACCCTCACAAAACAAGCGCCAGCACGATGAGCATCAGTAGATGAGATGCGACGCTTTCCATCTTGGATCCATGATTCGGCTCTTCAGTGACGTCCGGCTCCGCGGATGGATGGGTGAGATTATCACGCACTGTGAGGAAAAGAGAGATTGAGAGGAGTGTGTACAGCAAAAATAGGCATAGTTTAGTTATTCATGGCCGCTTTCCACAATGTTTTAGTTCATGTTAGCTGTAAGTTGATTTGCACTGATAAAGTTTTAACATTACCGCAGATTTTCTCCTCACACACTGGCAGGTTTGCTGGACACTTTGAGCACGGCACTCCAGACACGTATGGATTTTGTCCCCTAAAATTTCCTCTGAAATGAAGGAAAAAAGGAAGGATGGGTTTAATAGATATTTCAATTTATTGTGTGGAAGGTATTTTAGATCAGTGGTTCTCAAATGGCTTAAATAGTTTTATTTAAGCTTAAACAGCTAAAAAGGTATTTCTCGTCATTTCTTAATTCATTCCCTCAATAACTGTCATACTTAGCTATATATATATATATATATATATATATAAGTGTGATTTCTAGACCTGGAAAAATCATGAAAACGTCTAGTTGTGTCAAGCTCTAGAATATTGATAATATATATTGAGAAGAAATTGCTGAGAAACTGCCATTTGTGAGTTACAAATATTTATAAAAACCTAAACACACACACACACACATACACTCACCTAAAGGATTATTAGGAACTCCTGTTCAATTTCTCATTAATGCAATTATCTAATCAACCAATCACATGGCAGTTCCTTCAATGCATTTAGGGGTGTGGTCCTGGTCAAGACAATCTCCTGAACTCCAAACTGAATGTCAGAATGGGAAAGAAAGGTGATTTAAGCAATTTTGAGCGTGGCATGGTTGTTGGTGCCAGACGGGCCGGTCTGAGTATTTCACAATCTGCTCAGTTACTGGGATTTTCACGCACAACCATTTCTAGGGTTTACAAAGAATGGTGTGAAAAGGGAAAAACATCCAGTATGCGGCAGTCCTGTGGGCGAAAATGCCTTGTTGATGCTAGAGATCAGAGGAGAATGGGCCGACTGATTCAAGCTGATAGAAGAGCAACTTTGACTGAAATAACCACTCGTTACAACCGAGGTATGCAGCAAAGCATTTGTGAAGCCACAACACGCACAACCTTGAGGCGGATGGGCTACAACAGCAGAAGACCCCACCGGGTACCACTCATCTCCACTACAAATAGGAAAAAGAGGCTACAACTAGCAAGAGCTCACCAAAATTGGACAGTTGAAGACTGGAAAAATGTTGCCTGGTCTGATGAGTCTCGATTTCTGTTGACACATTCAGATGGTAGAGTCAGAATTTGGCGTAAACAGAATGAGAACATGGATCCATCATGCCTTGTTACCACTGTGCAGGCTGGTGGTGGTGGTGTAATGGTGTGGGGGATGTTTTCTTGGCACACTTTAGGCCCCTTAGTGCCAATTGGGCATCGTTTAAATGCCACGGCCTGAGCATTGTTTCTGACCATGTCCATCCCTTTATGGCCACCATGTACCCATCCTCTGATGGCTACTTCCAGCAGGATAATGCACCATGTCACAAAGCTCGAATCATTTCAAATTGGTTTCTTGAACATGACAATGAGTTCACTGTACTAAAATGGCCCCCACAGTCACCAGATCTCAACCCAATAGAGCATCTTTGGGATGTGGTGGAACGGGAGCTTCGTGCCCTGGATGTGTATCCCACAAATCTCCATCAACTGCAAGATGCTATCCTATCAATATGGGCCAACATTTCTAAAGAATGCTTTCAGCACCTTGTTGAATCAATGCCACGTAGAATTAAGGCAGTTCTGAAGGCGAAAAGGGGTCAAACACAGTATTAGTATGGTGTTCCTAATAATCCTTTAGGTGAGTGTGTATATATATATATATATATATATATATATTGTGAATATAAAAAAATATTTTTAATTTATTTTATAAAAATATGATTAATATCTGAATATATATAAAATATCACTATATCACTTCTAGTTTCTGTAAATAAAAAAGTTTGAAAACAAGCAGCTTTGATAGTACAGCATAAATATGTTTGGGTGCCTTTAAAAATGTACATTTACATGTGATCATTAGCAGATGCTTTTATCCAAAGTGACTTAGAAATTGTCCTTGAATAGTTTGAAAAGGTTGAGAACCACCACGTAAGACAGTTTTAAAGCTGTGTTTCAGTATTAGCTGGTGGTATAAACTTCTAGACTGAAATATTTGTATATGAACTCATATGATGTTAAGTTGCAACTTATACCACAATAAATATTGTAAAACTCGCCATATTATAGAATGAACACTTTCTAGAACATTGAGCTCATGTTCAGTTTGGATTATTGAAATACTTACGGAGGATAGTAATCACAGACGAGAAGAGTGGCCTTCTTGAAACCTAGACCCTCAACAGTGTCACAGAAGTGAGTAGCACAGCCGATTTGATTGGTGTCTGCCCACACCATCTGTAAAAACAACACACACATCGTCACATCTGCATAGTAATACTGTGAAAACCAATCAAACCCACAGAATGGAAACGGTGCTTACCTGAGTGTAATGGCCACACATTTTGCCTTCAGCACAGAACTTGTTTTCATAGTTATAATCCACATTTTCCTCAAACCTGGGGTGCAAAGAAATGAGTTGCTTTAAAGCTTATAGGTTTCCGCATATCACAGATCATTGGTATTAATTATTTTAGTCATCAGTAATTTATTCATTCTCATATATGTTTTAGTTAAGATAGTTTTTATACCAGCTAACTGTTGCTTTGGTTGCATTAAAAGGTCCAGTGCTGACAAAGAGATTTTCACCCAAAGTGAGTTTCTGAAGGTCAGGGTTGTGTTTCCAGATGCATTTCGCTGCGTAAGCTTCCGCCACCACACGCAGTGTCTCGTTCCACACCTTAAACGACAGAAACAAGATTGATGATGTTATTTGACTTTGACGTTTGTTAGTTTTGTGACAGCAGATCAGAACAATTTATCTACTAAAATCTAAAATAAACCAATGTTGTTTTACATTATTATAATTATGTATTATACTTTAATTAATTTACATTGAGTGAATCTCGGAAAGCCTGGTCATATTTCATGTCAAGATCCAAAATAAGAAAAAATGAAAGAAAGGGGAAAATATATACATATATACATAAATACAATAGAACATAGAAGATACAAATGAAACACAGTGCTTTTCAGGTAGGTCTATAGTATTAGCATACTGTCACTTTAAGACCTAATGCATGGATCCAATATACTGATATACTGTACACATGCATTTTTTTTTTCTACTGTTTACGTTCACTTAAGAACCGACAATGTTTACTAGGATACTCGTCGAGACAGGCATTTTTTGACCTCATTTTGTGTAAATTTGTCCATTCAAGTGCAAGAAGAAATGAAAGTGAGCTCAATTTAGTATTCATGCGATGTCTGAGACGCGGCTTTCTGGGCACGTGCTTCAGATGCTTAAACTTCCCACACAGCGTGCGAGTAATGAATTGATTTCCCTTTCGCATCTTTTTTGCGCTTGAATATTTAAGTAGGCAATTCTTAAGCTTTCATGATGATGCAACATTAAGAATGGCCTATTTAAATATTCAAGTACAAGAAGACGTGAAAGGGAACTCAATTCATTCCATTTATTTTCAATTAATTTGTATCATTGATTTTTTTTGTTGAGAATTGAGCACCTCCAAATTCTCACACCCGTATTGCAAAATAAGCTTTGTTTTCTTTCTTTTCAAATATGACCCAGCATGTTGTTGGTATAATCCACTCTATTGCTGTGTAAATGTAAGTGAACAAAACATATTTCACACAACACCCAGAGTCTTTTCCGCTGAATCTCCCCATATTTCTGCTCTGAATTTCACCCGTAATACAAATACAAGAGAGTAAGACAGGATGGCCACTTTATTAAAACACTCACACTCAGCATAGTGTTCCTGCGGTTTCGTATAACATTCACATTCCTCAGCATGTCACACACACACACTACGCAATGGTATTTCATGCATGCATGTATTACCATGGATATTAATGTGATAATTGTTGTTTACAGCAGTAATGAGACCATTAAAGATATGATTCCAGTGATTAATGATGGCAGATTATTAGATGATTTGACCTCATAAGAGCATCCAGAGACCAAAACATCAACAGTCTGAGATCAAACTCAGAAATCACACACATGTGGTTGGGGAAAGTCACCATGTACACTACCATTTAAAAGTTTGGGGTAAGTAAGATTTTTTTTTTAAGTAAAGACATTTTTGCATTGACTTTTTGTTCAGTAACTCTTGGAACATTTAGGTTTTCACCACTAGAACCTTAGCGAAATATGTTGTGTACATGTGTTTCTCCAGCCAGGTGCATCTCTTACCACTTTCTGCATGAAGGCGGCACTGGGCTGAACCTGAGAGCGAAGCTTGTTGTGCATGTCCACGATGGTTGATTTCTCCTGCTCGGTCAGTTGTCCAGCAGCTAAACTCAGAATCGCCCAGATCCCGGCGCTCCAGAGGGCCACGTCCCAATACATGCTGCCTGTCCGACTGCGAGGACACTAGATCAGCTGGACAAAAACCTCGTCTCTTGTTCTGAGTTGTTCTCTGCTGTCTTACCCTGTCACTCGCTGTCAATAATGCCTTCAGAACATGTAAAAGTATCTCTCTCAGAGCTGTTAGTGTGTGTAAGTGAGAGAGAAAGTTAGTAAAGAAACCCCAGAATGAAACTTCCACCCTTTTTATCCTGTACTCAAGCCACCCATTGGTCATTTTACACATCTCACATGCACATAAACACACTCCACCGGTTTATTCATAATACTGGGAATACGTGACTCTGTCCCACTGTCCAACAAGTCCAACTAGAGGCACTAGGTCTCTCTCCAAGGCGTTGATATATAATTGTGTTTTAGTCACAGGGCATGTTATAGCAGCTCTGCTTGAGTAATGCCTGAGATAACAGGGATATGATTTGATTGACCTTGCCTGTGTTTTTCATGAAAATCTTCTGTACTCATATTACTGAAGTAATTTCCTTTGTACCAGCTAGGTTCTGCTCTCTCCGGCAAGGATTCATCCTTATATTAGTGGGTACCTCCCCGCAGAGGGTTACACAAACCCAGATCTCCTTTACTGTAAGTGACGCCGGTGAAATTCTTTCCCTCTTTAAAGCTGAGCTGTTAACTGAGAGGATTATTTGATTTAAAGGATAAGGTCTGAATTGTTAAAATTGACAGAACAGTTGAGCTGTTCCTTTTGCCCTACAACTTGAGTAACAACTTTTCAAGAACTAGATTTTTACATATTCTGATGAACATGTGAGTGGTGTTTCAAGGAAAAGTGAAAAGCGAGCACGTATTCAAAAAAGATTTCAATACCCTGCATATTAGGGGTGTAACAGTCGGTACACAGAAGTCACGGTTCGACACGTACCTCGGTTTTGGGGTCACTGTTCGATACGAGTTTGGTACAACAGGAAAATGCAACAAAACCCCAATTCTAGGTTTTGTTTCATTTGTTTTGAACAGACCGTAGTGCAAATTACAGTTTGTTTCAATAGCACCATTTAGTCCCCTCTGAGTTAGTTGGTACAGTACAGCCTACTTTCACGAGTTTACACTTAAGCCCGGGACACACTTAGTGACTGTAAAGTATTCATAATTGATGATTTTTCCCAGCTGGGACTTACTTCTTTGCTCCTGGGCTCCTTTCTCCAACATTGGCGTCCCACAACACTTACTTGGCGTGCTGTCTGAGGAGAGGGCTCCAAGCTCAGTATTTTGGCCCCAACCCAGGGTATTCCCCCCCTTTCCCTGGCTGTGGTAGGAACCAGCCAGGAGTGAGTAATCGGGGTGGCGGAGGCATACTGAAACCTGTCGAGGAACATATGTGAGTCGGCTGCGTATAGGCCTCCTCTCGTGCTGATTGGATAGACATGTTGATTGGATAGATCATTTGAACTTCTTCCACCCAAACTTTGTTAATAAAACATCATTTAGTGTATTAAGCACTAAGCAGTAAACAGAATGCACTCATCTGCCATTGTCGCATGAACAAAGTTCAATATTACGCTTTTTCAAGAAATCACGGAAAGATGAGTGGACAGCCTTTGCTTGGAGAGAGCCTTTCCCTTCAGCTTCCCACAGTAACAGACAAAGAGCTGGTCTGAGGTCCTGAAACCAGTGTTGTAGTCGAGTCACCAACTGTCGAGTCCGAGTCGAGTCTCGGGTCCCAGTGTTCGAGTCCGAGTCCAAGTCCGAGTCACCAAAGAAGAGTCCGAGTCGAGTCCAAGTCGAGTCCAAGTCGAGTCACCATTACCTGAGTTCAAGTCCGAGTCGAGTCTCGAGTCCCGTGTTCGAGTCCGAGTTGAAATTATATACACTTAAGCCAAATCAAGCAACAATTGTCAGGCACTCTTTCTTGCAGCTAGAAATGTGTATGATATCACTAGTATTGCCATTCACCTTAGTTCAAATCATTGTCAACTAGCTGTGGCACGATTAGCCTAAATTTATTTAATTGTTTAAATACATTTTTGGATGATCAGTCAACTGGAATGGATAAAGAAAACAAAAAAGAAAGCCTAATTGGACAGAGGAGGAGAAATGCATTCTTCTTGACGAATATGGTAAAAGAAAAACAATTTTGAAATGCAAACTAAATCCCAATGTAACTGCGGCAAAAAAACAGAAAATGCAGTGCTATAAGCAGTTGTAACTCCGCAGGAAAAGAGTGGTTGCGATGTGTGACATAGTCAAGGTCGCCGTCTAGTTTGTTAGCTAAAATAAACATAATTGTGTTATTGTATGATAAAGCGGGATTAAGCACTGAGCGCGTCCGACTTTGGCTCAGCGCCAGCCATAGCACGAAAGCACAGTTTAAATCTGGCAGTTATGTCAAGTCACTGTACATTCGCTCCTTAGTGGTCAGCTCAGCTGCTGCAAAGCGTGCCAAAATCGAAATTGCTGATTAGATGTAGAGGAACTTATCTAGTGTTAAATGAGTGTTACGTTATCTCTCTCACGAGAATGCAGCGTAAAGTGAGTGACGTCAGTGAGTGTGTTGTCAAGCAAGGAGAGCGAGCGGTAGCAGTGTCTGTGAGGGAAAAAATAGATCATGGCCGGTCTTGGACCCCGAAACAGGAAACGTGTAACATCTTATATAAAATTTTTATAACCTATTTAGTCAGAAACAACGTCATTCATTTGATAAATGCTCAAGTCCGATTTTATATATTCTCAAGTCCGAGTCCAAGTACTAGTCATCAGTCCGCGAGTCCAAGTCGAGTCACAAGTCCAGAGAATGGAGTCTCGAGTCGGACTCGAGTACTCCATCACTGCCTGAAACACTGCGTTCTGTCTACATAGGTGCGGAGAGCACGTACTGGACAGAGCAGTGCCAAGGCTGGGTCTGCCTCCTCCAGGGGCAGCGCTTGCAGGTTCACCACCTGGTCCCGGAAGGGAGTGGTAGGAACCTTGGGGATATATCCAAGCCAGGGTCTCAGGATCAAGTGAGAGTAGGCCAGCCCGAATTCCAGGCACATTTCGTCAACGGAGAATCTTGATGGAGAATCTACCCTCTTGATGGAGACCAATGCGACTAGGAGCGCTGTCTTCATTGACAGGAACTTAAGCTCCACTGATTGCAAAGGCTCAAAGGGAGCACTCTGCAGGGCAGTTAGAACCACTGCGAGGTCCCAAGAGGGAACGAGAGGAGGGCGATGAGGATTCAGTCTCCTCGCTCCTCTCAGGAACCTGACGATCAGGTCGTGTTTCCCCACAGACTTACCTTCGACTAGGTCATGGTGTGCGGCAATAGCGGCAACATAGACTGGGGAGGGAGACAGCCTTCGCTCCAACCCATCTTGAAGGAATGAAAGCACGACACTGATCGAATATCTCCGGGGGTCTTCTCGGTGAGAAGAGCACCAGTTAACGAAGAGGTTCCACTTCAACGCATAGACGTGTCTCGTGGACGACACGCTAGCGGAAGTGATGGTAGCCACCACCGCTGGTGGTAGGGTACTCAAACCTGCCTCGTCCCGTCCAGGAGCCACACGTGGAGGTTCCAAAGATCGGAACGAGGGTGCCATAGGGTGCCCCGTCCCTGAGAAAGGAGGTCCTTCCTTAGGGGAATCGGCCAAGGAGGTGCTGTCGCGAGGAGTACAAGTTCGGAGAACCAGGTCCGGGTGGGCCAGTACGGTGCGACCAGAATGACCTGCTCCTCGTCCTCCCTGACCTTGCGCAGGACTTTTGTCAGGTTTTTGGGTGAGGGATGAAGCGAGGACTCAGGTGCAGAGTTGATGGGCTTTTAATGATAATAAAATAAAACAGACAACAACAACTACCCCGAAGGACTTGGACTTGGACTTGGACAGCAGGGAAACACTCGGTGTACATACGATGACGAACCAGCACAGGACTGCAAACACAAGGAGAATAAATAGAGAGCAAACAAGGCAGGTAACGAGGGAGGATAGGTGGGGCAAATCAATCAATAATCAGGTAACAAGATGGGAGGGGCTAGACAATCGACAGGAGAGCACATGGCACAAGGAAACACATGACAAGCCATGTTCTGCCTTAAAACACCAAGGAAGAAGAAGAGGACAAGCCATGTTCTCACAACAAACAGGACTAGAACACAAGCACATGGTCAGTAAAATAAATCACCAGCCATGTGCTCACACAAAATGACACATGAACACACGGCCAATGAAAACACATAAGCCACGTGTTCACACAAAACATGACAACATGAAAGCACACAGCTAGTGGAAAACACAAGCTGTGTGCTACGCAGCACAAGACAAAACAGTGAATGTAAATCTGGGTGTCATCTGCATACAAGTGAAACTTGAATCCAAGAGATCTAAGGAGCTGACCAAGAGGAAAAATATTAAATGTTAAAAAGTAATGGACTCAGAGTCGATACTTTTGGTGAACACCAAATTTGATTGAGCCAATTTTACAAACTGACTACGGTCTGATAAGTAAGACTTAAACCAGTTGAATGCAGTCTCTGTGATGCCAAACACATTCAATACGAGTGAGCATTGTGCTCACTTGATAGTGGACGCCATTGCTTTGGCATACCAGCAGCAAGGCCGACCGTGCCCCCTTGGTGTGACTGCCCACTCCACCCGGAGTCTGGGCTCCTCTTGGGCTCTAGCGCATGGCGCCTCGCTAACAGACATCTGCAGAGCTGCAGGCTGGGCGACACCGAACACATTCGCCAGATTCTACAATCTCCGAGTGGAGCCAGTGTCCTCTCATGTACTCGCTTTAACCCAAGCTAGTACCGGACCCGCTCAGGTGTCTTCGCTTGCTCCCCATTCCACTCTACGGACTGGATACGTGCGATATTCTCCTCAGGTGAGCTTCCCGAAAGCCCTGAGTTCCTCCAGCACTCCTGACATCGGCACCAGTGTCTATTGCCTGCGCGTCGGCTAGGTGCCTCCCGTGTGCATGGTCCCTCCTCTGAGCGACCCCCATATGTGTATTTCCACTGTAAGCCTCTCTGAGCATGTGTCTTTCCCAAGCCACCATTTCTTTGCCATTGGCTCGTTTTGTAATACTTGAAGTTGATAGGCTTCTAAGCGAAACCCCCCATTCGTCGTCATCCGACTGA